AGAAGAACAAGGACTTTGAGATGAGAGCGGTTGTGCGCAAGAACAAGCAGCGAGCCGATCAGGGAAAGGGTTCTATCATCCGTATTCGAGGCCAACTTCGGGATTTCGCGGAAGTTGTTCGCTATTGGAATCGAAGAGGGATATCGATTGACGATATCATCGCTCGACGGACGGCATCTCCGACACCTGAGGCTGTGGAATGTTTCACTCCTGTACCCTCCCCTATCCTGACGCCGGAGGTGCTCGCAATACCAGAGCGCATGTTTCGTTGCATTCGGGATTATTTCGAAGGCTCCTTCGAGTCCGGGACATGGGTCAGAACAGAGCCTCTTTTTCACTGCGTCACCACCAAGGATAAAGAGAACGCAGATGGGTATCTGGAAGAACTGATCCGTCAATGCCAGTTAGCTTGTTTACTATTCTCAAGGAGTTTGTTTCAAGAGGCAGGACAGACTCTGATCGCTGCCACTGCAAAAATCAAGCAGATTCTCTCAGCAGAGCTTCCCAGGAGTCTCATTGAGTTGTTTAGACTGATTAATTATGTCCGCCGCCACAAGAGAGATGAGATGGCCTTGATTATACTTCGACAATTCTCTGCTCTAGGTAAAGTGCTGCTAGGCAGTGAGCATCCTCTCAGTCGTATCTGTGAGTGGCTTGACTCAACATCTCCGTCTGGGTTTGATGATACTGTTGTCAGATGCATGGAAAGTATTGTCGACCAATTCGAACGCTTTGTTGGTCCCATGCATTGGTCAACACTGTGCGCTCGTTTAAATTACATTGTGGTAGCGAGCCCAGAAGGGAATGCCGGCATTCAGATGCGGCAAAACTTGCTTGACGAGTGTGAAAAGACATTGCGGCCACACGACCCTCGGATCTTGCTGGTTCGTGGGTACATGGCGGAGAATTATTTCGATGAAGGTTACTTTGTCGAGGCCAGGACCTTGAGCCAAGAAAACATTGCCTGTTCTCAACATGTTCAACGAACGAACGAAAGGTTCCATCATGAGAACAATAATCTCTACAGGGTAGCACTGTGTCAACACGCTCTTGGCGAAGTGGACTTGGGAATAGCAACTCTTCACAAAGTGATTGACTTAGCTGTGTCGAGATTTGGCTCTCAGGACTGGATGTTACGACGTTTTCTTTTGTCTTTGGAAGACTGGTATCTCGAGCAGGGTCGTTGGAGCTTTGCTGCTCAAGCGCGAGACTGGAGGGAGAAGATACTGGAGTCGATAGATGTGGATTGAAACGGAAATCCATCCTGGCTCATTTTGATATTCTCAGTCAAGCCGTAATCTTATATTCCTAGCTCCGTTGACAGTCCCAGCATTCTGCGTGTCTCTACCAGTAAGGCGATTTTCCAGTCCGGAGAACCTATCCTCAACCTCAGCATGTGCCATTGAGAGAAAGAGCGAGCAGAGAGGTACAGCCTAGCCGGATGCGGCACGCTTTAACCGCATGCGCTTGCCGCGGCTGCATTCCGTCGCCGGACTTCCCTCAATCCACCGTCCGAGATCCTACTTACATCAAGAACCGCAGAACCAACTCCACAAGACCGAAGCAAGATCCGACGGACCTCCAGATCCCTAAAAAAAAAACTCGGCCGGAAATTCCAATCCATCCCCCCCCCCTCCAGAAATGCCCCCCCAAACCGAACCCGATCCCCAAATAGTACTCGCACTCACCCCCCACTTCCGATCCCCACCTCTGATCAAGAAAACTTGCAGCTTTCGACGAATCTACGCAACGCGGGAAAGGTGTGGGGCGAACGCAGTCGGCAGTATGCGGCCTGCAGACGGGTAGCCGAGGCGTATGTGGGGGCCCGGGATGCGGATCCGACGACGACGACGACGACGACGGGGGGGTTGGAGGAGGTGGTGGGGAGGATGGGAGGGCTTGCTGTGGGGGATGGGGATGGAGGGGGGAGGGGGGGATGAGGGGTTGCGGGAAGAGTGGTCCGAAGTGCTGGATGATTGTTTGAAATTGTATTAGGGGCCCATTCGATCGATTTTGAAACCCATTCTGACAGAGACGGAGACGTAAAGATGCATGCTTGGATATCTGGAGTATTATAAAGACCCGAAAATTCTGCAATTGTTGGATATCTTGCGCACTCAAGCAAACCAGATAACGCTTTGCCGACCCAGAGAACCCTTCCGTGGAAAGAAAACGTTTCTTCGTGAATGCCCCGAACGCCAGTATTGAGCAGGAAATGGAGAAGATGAATGTTGTTACAGATAAAAGCTGTCTCAACAGCACCCATCCCGGAACTCTTCCCCACGGTGCGTTTCCTCTAGGCCGCTCTGAAGCACTTTATTCAATCAGCGGCTTCCTCGTGGACCCAACCATTGTCATGCCTAGCGTATGCAATGCGTTGTAATCATTCACGCGGATTATTGTCGGCGCAGGGAGCATGGGATTATCCGGTCTGATGTTTCCGGCATCTTTTGCGGCTTGCTCGATGGCTTCCATTTCTTCCTTACAGGCGGTGTGGTCGAGCGGACAGACGACGATCGGTTGGCGGAGTAGAATGTCTTTTGCGGAGGTCATGTGTGCCTAGGGTATATTAGTACGAATATAAAGAGCAAATCTGGGAATCGTTAAATGGTAACGCACCTTCACAGTCAGGTAGTACTCGATCTTATAAAGACTGCCTGTTGTCGTAAAACCGCTGACCGAATACGTGGGGAAAGCCTGCTTCCCCCTCGGTATTACCCCGTCGTTGTCCCTGAGATCCTTCGCCGGGAAGACTAATCCAAGGTTCGTGAAATACCCAGCTTCCGGCATCTTCACACCCACTGTTTGGGTTTGCTTCGCTAGCGTTTTGACTTTTCGTTGCGGTTCGTCGCCTTCGTGGTTGTAAATGATTTCTTCGTCAATTCCAATCGTTATCTTGTTTATCGTTACTCTCTTCGCTTTGTTCAGCCAGTCGGGGTTTGGAGATAGTTTGATGTAGACGCTGACGGGATCCAGAGGACCGTATGACCATCGAGGGAGTGATATGCCTAACGTGACGAGGTGGTCTGTGATTCTTTCGGCGGACTCTGGCCTGTTGTACATGCCGAATGTGGAAAGGGTATCGTATCTCGATATTGGGACTGGGAAGGCGTATTTTCTTTGCTCTGTATGACCTTGCTGTACCATCACCACCATCTCGTAATATGTTTCTGCCGTCCTGCTGCCTAACTGCAAACTCGCTGGCGGTACCCTCCGCGCCGTCTCTTCTCCTCCTCTTCCAAATGGAATAAACAGCACAAAAGGTAGGTCCATCGAGTAAACGTTCTCTGACTCTTTCCCTGCTGGACATCGAAATAGCAGCATTTCCTTCCCAACTATGTCCACAAGCTCCTTCCTCGGCGCCGCTAGATGCTTCTTGGTCACCGAATCTGCGGAAGGATGTATGGTCTCCCGCCGTTGAAGGTATATTGTCACTAGCGATATGGCGACTGGAGCGGAGTATCCTTTGTCGGGCCGTATTTCAACCTTCCCTTCTACTCGAGGCTGTAAGTGGTACATATCAGCATAGTCCTCGACAGAGATATCGCCGCGCTGCTCCAGGGAAATCCATTTCCCCCATTTTCTTCTTCTTCACTTACCAGTGTAGCAGATATGCCGGGATATCCCACGAGGTATGCGCTGTTTGGCGGGCCACAGACGCGAACGAAGGCTGTCATCGCGGCTTAGATGTTGCCTTAGCCCGCCCATAGCATGCTGCGAGACTTCTCCGCAATAGTACCATCAATTGTTATGTCCGTCCTTGCTTCCGGATAGAAGGTATGCCCAGATGTTCCTCTTGCGACTCAAGCTGAAAGTTGCCGGCAGGGATGTTGATCTGCAAGACACATGGGAAAGACCAAATAAACGCAGAAGCAAGAGTGAAAAAAAGTAATCAAGATGGCGAGCAGGTCTTGGTATGTGTGCGAGTGGGGTATGACAGGTCTGAAGGTACTGAGATTGTTAGAGCCTTCTCATGCAAGAATCGAGTAACCGACCTGTAGATTGCGTTGTCGAGCGCCAAGCCAAGCCAAGCTAAGTAAGCTCAGGCAACTCCACCCCAGCTCCACCGGCGGCTAGGCCGCTTCTAGGCCGCATAGAATCCTGCAAGGCTGATGCTTTCTTCCATCTTTCGTCGAGCTCATATGAGCTCTTCACGCAGCATGATGGACTGAACAACGAGGCTGCTTGTCACCAGCCATGTCTGTGACACTCCATACTACCGTTGGTGACATCAAAATCGAGGTCTTCTGCGAATCCGTCCCCAAAACGGCAGAAGTAAGCATTCCACCGTGCCTCCTACATAAGCTCCTGTCATGCTGTCCCTGAGCAACTTACACATGTCACTAACGTCCGCTCAGAACTTTTTGGCCCTCTGTGCCTCTGGGTCTTACGACGCCTCTCCTTTCCACCGCTCCCTCCCATCCTTCATGGTTCAGACCGGCTCCCCCGCATCCGCCTCCGCAAAAGTCAGCACTTCAATCTGGGGCACGGATTTCGAAGATGAGATCCGCCCATCCTTGCGACATAATGCGCGTGGAATAGTGGCAATGGCGAACAAAGGGTCAAACACGAATGGCAGTCAGTTCTTCATCACGTATGGACCTGCGCCGCATCTAGATGGGAAGAATACAGTGTTTGGAAGGGTGATTGGTGATGAAGGGATGGTGACTTTGCAGAAGCTAGAAGCGAAGGAGGTGGATAAGAAGGGAAGGATGCAGGGCGATATAGTGAGGATTGAGAGGGTAACGATGCATGCGAATCCCATTGCTGGATGAACGGCATCAGATTTCTTTTTTCTCCGGACATCTAGCCCTGATGATAGGACTTCGTGAAACCCGAGCAGGTTGCGAAGCACACTTTCTCTTGCTATAACTGTTGCTGGCCCCCCACATGTTTGCGTATCAATACAAACATGGCGCCGGAAGTGATCATTGCGTGGGTCTGCATTCTCGGGCGGAGCGCCGCTACCACAGTCAGTTTCATACTTCCTCTGCTCCGAATTAGATTCTTAGGAAGAAAGCCATCGTCTCCTTATAAAAAGGTGAGTCTCTTCCAACACAACACAAGTCCACGTCGAGCTTTTTGCTCGCGTATTTCAAGGCCTTCTTCCTCAAACCCCGCTTCAAAGCACACTTTGCCGCATCATGATATGCCAGTGATGTCTCATAAACCAGTCCTTCTTGGTTGATCAAGTTGACAAGTTCCAGGATCGCAGACCGTTCATCGCAGTGACCGTATTCTGCTCTCGCAGCTGGCGGGTCATTTTGATAGTCTGCGATCTCGTGATCGAGATCTTGCATCTGTTGGCGGCGAACTTGGCTACGAATGCCAAAATCGGTGTCGGTTTGGCAAGCAGGGCAACGGCAAGTGAAGACGTACGGCTTGAGCTCGCGTTTCCGTTCCTGAAGCGTGCGAATCGCGGAGCAATAGCTAACAGTGATCTCTTCGCCCTTGGAAATGTCCTTCACAGCATGCACCGTTTCCCGTTCGATGCTGCTATTCCACGAGTAGTGGGCATTCGGTATGCAGGAGTGATTGATCCTAGCTGCGTCTAGGCAAATGCAAGTACCCGATCCCATCTCGAAGCAATTAGCTTCATATATGCTGAAACGGAGGCTGCAGTCAGGTCTTTCGGGGCAATGCAAACCCATGAATTTGAACTTTTCACTGGCTGGAAGGCTGTCGAACGCTTCGAAGATATCATTTGGTGCGTATGGATCGGACCAAGATACCACAGGTCTTTCGGTCAAAGAGAAAAAGGGTTTTTCTGCAAGTATACGTGTGCCTTTTCGAATGTCTTTGGCAGCGAACATCCCAAGCCCTTTGCCGGGTGACGCTTTGATGAGGTACAGAGTAGATCTTTCGATATTGGGACCGGCAGCTGGGGTGAGGTTTTTATCGGCCTTGACATTGCTTGACCTAGTAGTCTCGTACTGTCCGCTATGATGTTCAGCTTTTGTAGTTTCTGCTTGAGCAATAGCTTTGCGCTTTTCGAGCTCGCCGGCCTTCGAAATCATGGGACGTGTTTCCTGTGGAAGTCTCAGAATCATCGCTACAACGGCACTAATACACCGTACCTGTGCAAGAGCAAGGGCATTTCCACCGATCTGCCTTTTCGATGTGAGCAATTTTCTCGGAAGCTGTCGCTGTCCCGTCCGCACTCTCTTTTTCCCAGTGAGGCGAGCGTCGGAAACTGCGTCGGCGTCTTTGAGCTTGATGTCAGTTCCGCTCAAGCCATGCATTTTCTTCGGAAGCGTCAGTCACCCTCAACAACAGCATCGAAACGGTATACCCTTACGAGAATTGCTCCAGCTCTATGGAGCTTCCTCTTGGCCGCGGACGACTTGTCTTCCATGATGGGACGGTTGAACGAAGAGACCGACGGCATGGTGATCCGTCAAGGACATTTCCGGATGCGTTGGTTGGGAAGTGAGAGTTTGCGCACTTGTGGATTTGGTCATTGGATTCACTTTTCAGGGGCAGCTGCGAGCAGTTTGGGGAGCGGGGAAAAGCAAGGATTACATGGTTTTGTTTAGGGGTCAACATGTGAAGCAAATGCTCTTCCTGCTTCCACTGGTCTATCCTCTGCGATCTCAATCGTACATGTTTCTGCTTTTGCCCCGAAGTCTATGCCATACAAAACGCTGAACCGCCAGATCATAAAGAAGCCTATGCCAGTGCCAGGTATGTACATAGCGCCGCCATCTACTATCAACAAGCCCAGATCTATGTCCTGTTGTTTAGGGCCTCGCCGTCGCTCCACTATCTTCGACCCGGAGCGGACGAGGGGCTATGACCCATTGTTTTGAGCCTTAGCGTTGCTCATCCCAGAAGACTCAGCAGCCCCCTCTGGCTTAGGACTTGTCTTGCCGAATGTTTCTCTGACATATTCGCCCTTTTCGTTCAGCCTCGTTTTCATATCTGCTATTCCGAGTTCCTCCTCTTCCTCTTCCGTACGCTCATATTCCTGGGTTCGGACCTTTGGATCGTTCCCAGAATCATCCAGATCCAAAAGCTGACAATAGCTATTGCCTAATGGATCCTCCATTAATATGGTGTACTGAATCTCCCCCTTGACTGCTTTGTCTAGCTGGGCGAAGAATGTACCCCATTCCTTCTTCGTGTCGGAAGGCATCGAATCTGTAGATACCTCGTCCTCACCAACGTCAAAGATAGAGCCTTTGAGGTCGTCACGGATTTGTGTCACAAGACCTTCAACAGTCGTGAATCTTCCACCCATGGTCCCCGGCGTGACTTCAACTCTGCACTCAGGAATCTTGAGTAGGCATGTCTCCGACTTGAGGATATCTCGTCCAAGGTCTTTTGCGTCTTTGACGTGAAGCCAGATTCTCTTCCCACTCTCAGGGACTTCGCCTCCAGTCTTGACATCGTTCGTTTTGTACCCGCACACATCGCAATGGGTTGTTGAGACGATGACTTGTTTGAAGTGTGGGATATGCACCATCTGGACCAGCATATGCGCAGGCTTGGCGCAACCGGGACAGAAGACGGGCAAGTCGTATGTTTGGCCTTCGAGTATATCCACATCCTCCATACCGCCACCATCCTCGGGCTGGAGCTGAGGCACCATCTCTGCTGAGCCAACGCCTTGCTCTTCCGAGGTCTCGCCCAGGCCCAAAGCCTCGTTTTGCTCTGGTGTCCGTGGATACCGTGAGTGCGTATATTTGCCTTTCGTCTTGGAGTCGGTGGGCGAGGGCTCGATCCAAGAGTTACCAGCGGGATCGTCAAGAGAAATCGTGAACGGAAACTTGCCGCCTATCAACATCTTGATGAGTGACTGAACAACGCCGTCGATCTTTTTATACAGCTTCGGATCTTCCTTCCTCCTCAGCTTTTGATCGCCCTCGAGGTCTTTCAGAACTTCGCTGAGTATTCCCTCAACGTTGGTCAGACGCCCTCGTCCAGCCGGCACTTCGATCAACAAGTCTTCGATCCGTAGGATGGCTGTATCACTCTTGACGAGTTGACGCTCCAGGTCATCTAGACTGCTGAGCTTGAACGCATATTTTGAACCTTGCTCTTGAATTTCTCCTGCGGGTTGAATCTCGTTGTTCTTAAGATGGCAATGCTCGCAGTAGAAGGACATGAGTATGATCTCGCGGAAGAATGGGATTCTTGTGAGTAGTAGTCGTGTCATGCCCTGTCACGGACGTCAATCAGCTTTACTCGCAGATGGAAGCCAGGTAATAACTCACGTTCTCATGGCAATTCATGCAGAGACTTTCGATCTCGTCCACAACTTTGACTCGATCGTCTTCAGCAGGATCCTCGTCATCGCCCAAGTTGAGTCCGAGAACTTGCTTGCCGATCGCAGCGAAGAGGTCGTTGTCGTCATTCTTAGCTCGCTCGGTGTTGAGGTACTCGTTGGTTGCACGGTCTGCCATGTTCTGTGTTTGAGAGGAGAGGATGTGGTGGTATAATGTTCACGTTCGGGGGTTACTTGGATCTGAAGAGCTGCCAGCAACCTAAGAGCTGATTTACAAGGAGCTTTCTGCAACACCAATGAGCGCGCCTCTCAGTCGAAGTGAAAAATGAAATGGCAACGCCACGCCTCGTATGAACTGCTTGAAAGTGTCAAACTCTGTGGGCTGGGAAATTGACGTACGAATACTCGACGCTATGACACAGTAGAAATCTAAACGATGTCGGGTTGTGTAACTTGGCCGCGATGTAACAAGTTGCGTCTCACGCTGCGAGAAGGACGAAAAAGTAAAGACTGAGACGCTCAAAAAGGTAGGTAGATACACTCGTCGTTGGTATATCTCGCGGCGCATGAAGGGGGCTCGATTATTGAGGCGGGCCAATGAACTTCTTTATCAACACAACTTTTTTTGGAGGGGCAATGACGAATGATCGCCAGCTTGTCGGGAACCATATTAGCGGCCGAATGCTTAACTCTACGAGTATGTCTTGGCGCGATGGGCGCTCGCTGCTAGCCGGGAAGCCGCCTTGCTTAATCCTTGGTCGCAGGTTTCCATATTGTCTTACTGGTTTGACATTATACTGCTGAAAATACTCTGTATGGAGCTCTTTTCCCCAAGGACGGAGGCTGCCCATTGACTACTTTACTTACCTTCCATTATCAGTTGAAAACTCTGTACCACTAACTCTGGAAATGATGTTAAAACCAGCATATGAAGTCCAAACGCTCAAATTGGCAAATCGAAGCAGCAGATGCGCGGGCCATTGTATTTCTTGCTCGCTCCTAAGATTAAAGCTCTGTTATGATTCTCAGCGGCTTCACTCCTTACAAGAAAAAATTCTTTCTCACTTGCGGCGTTTTCTTTACATTATACAGCATTCAAAAGTCAGGTGCTGCTACATAGCCTGGGCCCAATCCTTGCCCCGATCATGAAACTGATGCAGCGAAAATAAATAGCCGGTTTCATACCGATTTCCGCGGGGTTTTGTGCCACAGGGACTATCATTGTTTGATGAGTATGGCCACTACCTTTTAGGAGATCATAGAGACGGCCCTGGCAAACCCCATACAATTGTCTTCGCAGCGAGATGGATTGATCTCAGGACCAGATTTCCGCCTAAAAGCGCTGATTGTAGATACCTGCAGTGGCAGGGGGCCAAAGGGGCTGTATGGGGTAAGAATACTTGGTCCGCCCTGTCGAATGGAGTGCTTTTTCCCACTTCCAGGTGGTGGTATCCCATTGTCTATGGCGTCAACGGAACGGATTAACTGAATCCGAGAATGGGAATTATGCGATAAGAGACCGAGGTAAAAATGTAGTTTTCTCCGCGTTTTAACTACGCGACTTTATCTTTATAATAACCTATATATTAAATTAATATAATTAAAATATACCATACTAATAAGAAAGAATAAATAAATAAAAAATTAGAAAAGAGAAAGATAATAAAGAAAGGAGAAATTTAAATAATATGTTACGAGCGTACCCTTGACACACCACTCAGCCCTATGGCTAGGGCCTGGAGGCATCCTCACCATACATCCCCACCACATAGTTCGATAGCCTTATTACCTCGTCTACCTCACCCATACTAATATCGCACCTAGCGATTCGATAAATATAATATTCTTTTTAGAGTATATCTTTATTATTAGAGTATTAGCTAATAAAAATTAAGTATTATATAACTATTAATATCTCTAAGCGATATAAAAATACTTTATATATAATATTTAGTTTTATATAAATTATTACTATCTAGAATATACTTTATAAAAAACTAATTAAACCTCATAGAGTATTTTAGATTCTATTTAAAAGTTTATCGATATTCTAAACTAAAAATCTTTATCGCATTATAATCTATATAGAAATCTTTTATTTTTCTACTATTTATAATTATTAAAGAATTAATAAAATTACTTCGATAGCTTTATTAATTATTAGAAATATAACTCGAAATTACTATATTCTTCTTCGAAAATTTATTTATTACTTAGACTCTATTAAAGAGAATTTTAGAATTATTAGAATAGATAGATATAAATAATCTATATAATATAAAAAGCTTTAATTATTTATAAGTAAGATATAAAGTAATTAGAAGAAGCTTTATATTTTAAATTTTTATATTATAATTAATAAATATATAGTTAAGAAGATAAGATATATATATTATTTTATAATAGCTTTAGATAAGCTAATTAAGAAGAAATATAAGCTTTTCGCAATTAGCGATAAGAGCTATATCTATAATTATATCTAATATTCTCTATATAGAGTTTTAAGAATAGATTAAAAGTTAAGAATCTTAAAGATATATTAGTAATAATATTTAAATTAATTATTAATATACTATCTTATAACTCTATTCTTTTTATAAATAATTATTTTATTAAATTTAAACTAGCTATAACTCTAAAAATAGAAAATTATAATATATAAAATTAAAAGCTAAATCGATTAATCTTTTAAAATTACTTATAAAAAAAATAAATCTTTATAAAGAATATTTTATACGAAGTTCTCGCATAGTAATTTAGAATAATATGTTAATAATAATTTAATAAGATAAAACTTATTTTAGTCTTAATTATTATATATAATAAAAAGAGATTAAAACCATTTTTAAAAAGAAAAATATTTTAATAAGACTAGTATAAATAATTAATAGTTTTATTTATTTTTAAAAAGAATAATAGAATATATAGAGAAGAAGTTTTAAGTTTTTAAGCTTTTCATTATTATAATAAGTATATAAAAAGATTAACGATTTAATACTCTAGTAATTATATATCTTCTTAGCGAACTTATAATCGAAATTAGATATCCTACTTTATTAATATTTAAATAAAAATCTTTAAAATCTTTAAGCTCTATAAATTAATAGAAATATTTTATTAAAAGTATTAGAAGTTTCTCGAATTAATAGTAATAGAATTAATTAAAAAGATAAAGAAGATATTCGATTTTGGCCGTCTCTATCTTAATTACTATCTATTAAAACTACTATAAGATAATTATAATTAATAAGATTTAAATACTATTTAATAGTATCTTATATATTATTTCGATATTTAGAAGAGATATTTTAGTAAAGAAATTAGTAATAATAGTAAGAGAGTATTAAAGATTAGAGGAATATACTATATATAAAGTCTCTTTATATTATAAAGGAAATTATAAGAACGATTCTATGATAGAAAGAATAAATAGAGTTTATAGAATGGATCTAGACCATTAAGTGTAGATTATATAGTAGTTATGGAGTAGTAGTATTGATAATAGTGGTAGAAATCGCATTTGTTGCCCCGGGCGGTTATCGTATGCCGGTGAGGATGAAAGCGTTTTGAATCTCGCCAATTTCACAGCTCGACAGAATGGCGTTTTTCTTTTCTTTGATGGTGTACGCGCCTTGCTTTGCTGTAGACTCTCGCGATAAAGATCGAGTGCCGACTTGGGGATGCGTGATCGTTGATGCAAGTTGACCATCTCTGGCAAAAGCTCAGCCTTGTATGAAGTCTAGGAGACATCCACGCAGTATTCAGATTCGGTACCCAAGGCTTGAATCATGCATAGCTTGGAAGTCTCGTTCCAGAGCTGATTCAATCATGGTGCTCTGGCAATCAGCCCGAGCTAGGTGGTATTGGGCACGCTAGAAATTGCATATAGGACCTGACCTAGTACAAGGGTTAGAAGAAGTGGAGGCTAACCTAGATGGATCTCTGTATGCTGATGCTTGTACAAGGTATCTTGCGTACGCTAACAAGCTGCAAGGCGCGAATGACGGCAGTGAGCTCAGCCCTCTGATTTGTAGGGGTGCCGTTCGAAGCGAGGGCGCCGTACGTGTCCCATCCGTTGGCAAGAGTGGGGAAATGAATGCCGTATCCGCCTCGAACGAGCTTGGCCTCATGGTTTTAAGCGGCTTTTCCGTTGGACAAACAGCAGCCGTCAGTGAAGATAAGCAGCTCACTGATCTAGACGAGGGGAGGTGGTGGAAGCTGAATCATCCATCCTTTCTTATGGAACTGTGCCCGAATGAAGTACTCCCATAGAAAATCGAGGCTCAGGATTGCCACGAACTGTGTTTCATATTCTTGGCGGCAGAAGATATGGTTGCAGATCAGGAATCCTGGCGAGAAGAAGTAGCCTTGATGCATGAAGGGGACGCGGCTTAGGCCATCGACCTTGAACTGAGGTGCTGTTTGGTCGTTCAGCCAGGATTGCCCTTGCATCATGCCGAAGGTGCTTGTGAATGCGCAGCGTGATATTCCATTATCCGCCAGTGTGGAAAGTACACATTTGGTCCTATCGAAAACCTTCCCGCGCACTTTGGCGTCGTAGAAGGACTTCAGTAGCAGGTTCTTATTCGTGCAATCGGATACAATCGCTTTGAACTGTGTTGGAGCACCTGCCTCTGATTTGGGGAGAGACACCTGGATGCCGGATTGCATGTGCAAAGCGGAGATTCCTGGAGGCAGATGGAAGGCGCTCAGTATGACTCGGAGTAGCTCGAACTGCGTAGGCGCGACTTCTGTAAGGCTCATGGTCTTGGTGAGTGCTGGTGCGTGTTGGCGGTATGCTGGGAGTGGCTGGAAGAATGGTGAGCAAGACCTTGTCACTTGTAGTAGGCAGCAGTCATGAGTGGACCAATTTGAAGCAAATTAGAAGCAAGCATCCGTGGCGCTAGACTCAACGAATTGGGTGATAAATGGTCGTAAATGCCAAGCCTGTCTGAGGTAACCTTTTTTCAAAGCGAGGACCGGCATGATGAATTTTCTCAAAGACGTTCCTTGAAATGAGATGTTCAGTTGCAGTTAGTGAAATATGTACTATTATGAATTGCAAATTAAATAAGAATACTTGACAAAGCTGACCCAGCTCCGCCTCCGACTTTTTATTAGCGCCATTTATAGAAAATTATAGAGAATATACTTACTACTCTTATAATAGCCACTGTTATCTATTATCTTAATTAAATATTCGCGATATTAAAGCTAGTAGATATATACGCTTTTTTTAATATTTTATCTCTAATTTAGATATATAATAGCTATATCGCTAGTCTTTACTTTGAATATAATATTATTATTTAGAAAGAATCTCTCTATACGCTAGCGTATTTAACTCTTACTTAAATTTTATTAACGATCTAAAGTCGTAGCTGAGGATATTTATTCTAATATATCGATAGCGTATTAATAGAAGCGAAATCTTACTATCTATAATAATATTATAATCTTTTATAATAGATATATTTATATATAAGAGCGATATTATAGCCTCTTATCTACTACTTTAGACGCTTTTCTTAATTATTAGTATTAAAAGCTATAACTATATTAAGATAAATTAACGCGATTCTTAAAAGAGAAGTAAGATATTAAGATTTATAAGTTTATTATCTATAGAGCTCTAAAATAGATTAGAGTTATATATAAGAAGAATTAAAGAATTAATTCTTAAAGTAATATACTTTATATTATATAGTAAATATTTATAAATTAGATTAAAACGAAGTAGTTAATCTTTATTAATAAGTTATTATTTAAGCTATAAACGATATAGCGGTTTATAGTCTATACTTCTATTAATAATCTTATTTAATATTATAATAATATAAGATAAGATAATACTTTTAATATTCTATCTATATATATTACTATTAATTATCTACTCTATATTAAAATTAAGAAAAGCTATTATAATAAGAAAGATATTCTTAACTAGTTAATTAATTAATTACTTTCTCTTTATAACGAGTATCTTAAAAAGTATAATATTATTATTCTAGATAATATTAATATTTATATCGATTCTTATATTATTAAGACTATATAGATTAAAGATTATCTTATTAAATATTTTTCTTTATACTTATCTAACTATAATTCTATTAAATTAATATTTAGCGTTTTTAAGATATAGATATAACGTTATTTTAAGATCTTTCGATATATCTTTTAAAACGACTTTAAAGAATTTCTAAAGTATATAATCGATATTAATAACTATAATAGATTTACGATAAAGTATTTTAAGTATAATACTATAGACTATATATTTAACGATGAAATTAAAATATTTAAATAAGATTTAAAATATTTATCACGGTTCCAATAATCTTACGACCTTACTTACTTGTGTTATAACCCAATTAAGCTTAGCGTACCAAGGCCTTTCGGCCTTTCTATCTTACTATAAAGCTCACACTTATAATAATTCTATATAGATAGTATTCTCTTTATACTATAATATAGAGTTATCACATATATCATTAAGTTCTTAATATAATACTATCTATCTTTCTTCTAGAGCGGTAGCGATCTACTTACTAGTTATACTAAATATATAGCTAAGAAGAGAGTATATTACTAAGGAGTTAGTAGCTATAACTAAAAAGAAGCTTACTACTTAAAAGATTATTTAAAAGAAAATCTTTTACTTATATAAAGGCTAATCTGGCTAGATTAAATAAAAATCTAAAGAAAATAAATATCTTTAATATACTAAAAGGAATAAACTCTAGACTAAATCTTCTTCGTATTTCTACTAGCTTAATACTAATAAACTCATTAACCTTAAATCTAGATAACATACAAAGTTAAATCGTTATAGGTAAGTTATAGATATATCACCATCTAGAAGAACTCGAGAACTTCGATAAAAAGGTCTTAAATATTACTATATTATCCGCACGACGTAAAAGAAAGCGTCTTATCTCTAGAAGATATATTATTAAATTTAGTTCAGATCATATCGAAGTATAACTTACGAATATTACCGAAGAAAAGTTTATTATAATCTTTATATTTATCGCTAATTTATAGAATTTTATAGAAAGCGCTATTAATACTTCTAATACTTAATATAATAAATTAAAAACTCTAATAGAGAGCTTTCGAACTACTAGCCGTAATATTAAGGTATTTTAATAATAAAATAAATAACTCGACTAGAATATCGCTTATACTAAGATAAAGATATTAATAATTACTATTTAGCTAAATAATAGTAATAGCCAATTATCTTATAAGCGAGAAACTAATAATAGATTTCGAGGTTTACGTAATAGATATCGTATTAATACTACGAAATTTATTAAAGAAAATAAGAAACTTAAGTAAGACTTAAAGTGTAAAGAATAATAGCTAAAGAAGTAATAACCTCATATATTAGCTAATTTAAAAAACTTCGATAAGAAAGATATAAAGATTATATCTATATCTTATTAGCCGAGTATTCCCTTTAATAGCATCTATCAAAATTTACGCTATACTTCTATCACGAATCGCGTAGAGAGTATAGAATTAAATAAACGATACCCCGACATCTCGAATTTCTATAATATTAATAATCGAATTAAGTAAAATAGCTAGCGTTAATATCTTAAAGCGAAATTTAAATAAAGCGCTATAATCTTTTTTACTAAACTTAAGAAAATCGATTATATACGAGATTATTATAAGTCTATTACTTATAATATTATTAAAACGAGAGTAAACGAAGATATCTTAGATCTATATCAAACTGCCTAAAAAATAATTAACGAACTAGATAATATATTCGAAATATACGATAAGATTATCAAATCGAATATTAAGATATTTAATTCTAAATTTAATATAAGAGTAATAGATAAGAAGAAATCGTTTAAGAACTTCTACGTATAATTCTCTATAGCTATCGCTCTCTTAAGATTTATTAATATTTATAAGATATTTAATCTAAAACGATTAATCTCTATACGCCTAAGATATCGAATTTCAAAATAGCCTTTTAATACTTTTCGGGAATTAATTATTTTTCTACGAGTACTAGATATAGATCTTCGAGCTATTAATAATGCGTTAGATTTAAAGAGTAAGAAAGAGACTAATAAAACTAGTAAGAACTCTACCCCCTCGAATAATCAACATAATACTTCCTCCACTAAAAGAAATAATAATATTATTATCGAAAATTCCCGTATATGAGAATATAAGTATCTTAAGCCATTAATAAATAGAATCCGAAAAGAAGATAGATATTTTAAGTGTCTAAAAACTAGATATCGTTCTAGCGATAATAATACCCTATATAAGAATATAAACTTATTAATAAAAGAATAAGTTGATATAATTCTAAAAGCCGTCGACGTTAAAAAAAACGTTCTTATCGAATTACTACAAGAATTGGAAAACTAAACATCTCTAGTTAAGTCGCCGCTAGGGATTTAAAAGCCTTATATATAAAGATTAAAGAGTTAGAAATAGAAAGAATACTCGCTTCCGTCTCTCTGTTCGCGTATGCTATTACTACTAAAGCCTCTTTATAGAATAAACGTTAATTAGACTTTCGTAGAAAAATTATTATATTAATAGAATAGATTAAGACTAACTATCTTTTAGATATCGAAGCTTTAATACTAAGCTTTATAAATACATCTTTTATTAAAGTAAATAAGCTATCTAAGATAGTATTAATATAACTTTATAAATTATAATTAGCCGATAATAAATCTACCTTCGCACTCGATATTATATATATAGTTTTAATAAAACTCGCCTTAGAAGACTATATAGAAGAACTTTAATACTTAATTACCTTATTAAAACGATTTAATATTATTCTAGAAATACTATAGCTAGAATAGTATAACCCTTATATATTCTTTAAATTCAGAATTATTATACTTAATTTAGATTATTATATATTCAACTATTTATTATATAGTAAACTCGTTATTATTTAGAGTAATAATAAGTCTTTAAGAAAGAACTTAAATTATATAATAAAGACTATATTTAAAAAAAAGAATATAGTAGAGATCTCTATCTATATCTTTATTAAGATAATTAAAAAATTAGAGAACTAAGTTATTATTATATAGCTCTAAGACTTTAAATAACTTTTTAATTCTATTAATAAGAAAGCAAAGTTTACTACTAATATCGCCGCTATTATAGCGGAAGATTACGAGAAATTCTTTTATAAGCTAAGAAAGAAATTATTAATTACGAAATAGCTACGGGAATAAGTTCTTATAATATATTATAAATAACTAGACGTTTAGAATCCCATTAAAGCTAATAAATTTCCCCCTCATCGCTTTATTAACTATAAAATAAATCTTAAAAAAGAAGCTATTCTATTATCGAAAAGGGCTTATAGACTCTCTAGAGACTAGATATTAGTTATAAAGAAATATATTAATAAGATACTAGAAAAAGGCTATATTAGACCGAGCACTTCTCTTTATATAGTATTTATTCTAATCGTAAAGAAACTCGATAGAGGATTTAGACTATATGTGAATTATAAAGCTCTTAATATACTTACTATCTCTAATTAAAACGCTTTTCTATTAATTAAAGAGACCCTCGCTAAATTATACGCGGTGAGAATATATAGTAAATTCGATATTATAGCCGCTTTTAACGAAATTAGAGTAAAAAAGAATTATAAAGAAAAAATCGTATTTCTTACTCGATATAGCCTATTCGAATATATAATAATATCTTTCGAGTTATATAATACCCCTATCACTTTCCAGATATTTATTAAT